ATAAACAGACTGCATCCTGCAAGAAACTCATTAAGTCACCCCTGTGTGCATTGCCCCCTGTAGTATAGCTGCTTTCAGCTCACTTATTCATGAGGGGTCACCACAGTGGGTAGCTCTGCATATTATATGTTTCCTAACACAATCCCCAAATGATCTGTATCTCCTCCTGGGCGTGAAGCTTTCACTTGTTTGGTGAATGTGTGTGAACCCACAACACTTGTGGAGCCACTTAAAATTTTTCATCAGGTAAAAAAAAAAAGAAAAAAAAAGAAGCTATTGCAGGTGATGATTTACAGGCAGTCCTTGCTTGTGTCAGGTCATACTGTTTAATGGTTTTTATATCATAAAATGAGGAAAACGGAGACTCGAACAACAAAGGTGCTTTGTAGACTTACCCCACTGAAGTGCAGAGCAGCTCCAGAAGCCACAGCTCCACACACAGTGCTGAGTTTCCCACCAGTGAGTACGTGCCAGTGACTGAGCGAGGGAGCTCGACTGAAGCTGTCCTTCAGCTGGGAGGGCAGAGGGACCACGGGCTCATCGCAGTATTCTCCACCCCACTCTGGGTCACATCTGCAGACACAGATCAGCAGATACTAATACAAGCTAGCATTCAAAGCATAGTGAACTTGATGAGTTAAACATCGCAACAAAAACACCTTCTATACAATTATGAGTAAATAAAAGCAGACCAAATATTATTCTGTATACCGATTCTGCTTTTAGACAGAACACCTTCTGCTGCTGGCACTTACACGCAGGAGCTCTGTTGGCAGCGCCCATGTCCAGAGCACATATCTGGGCAGCCATCTCCGATGTAGAGGTTGTCAAGAGCCCAGGTCTGCTGCTTGTCAAAGGGAGCCTGCTGGTACCATCGGAACCTTGTGGCTGGAGACCTAACAACATAAATTAAAGTTGGAGATAGACTGGAGCAAAGTATGCAAGCTAGTTCAAGCAGACAACTCAGGGTATACAAAACACATACTGTAACACATCTCACTGTCCTGTACTGTAATATACCAAAAACAACTTCCTAATTTGGTAGTCTATTTAACCTGCACATTTTCTCTTCTCTCCTTCTGTTGTGTCAGTGCTGCTGCTCCATTGTTCCCTGCTGCTTTAACTGCATCCACTCATGTAGGCGATGTTTGATTATCAAACCCCAATTGCTCTGCATATTATGCCTGTTGGGAGTGATGAGTTGGCACATATAGATGCTAAACTGGATCTATCTTTTTCACCTGTTATTTCAAATGCGACTCATCTGAAT